ATAACAGTTTTCTCAATGTGAATCTGAGCGTGAGTAATGCAGATCTTTCTTGCCCTCGATTGTGTAGTGCTTTCGTCAGAAACTTTCAACCAAACTGTGATTTTGGTGAGCGATGCTCGAGAGAGCATTAGGGCAGTAAGGAGCAACTCCGAGTGTTGAGATCACTTCGAGGTTTCGAGCATGTCTGTTCTGCAGCCAAAACAGTGTACAGTATTCAGTCGTGGAACGTATGTTCTTCCGGGGTTGTTTTTCGAGGAGAGTGAAAGCCGGCTCTCCGGCTGTCTTTGAGATTACCTGTCAAGGAGCAGCTGAACGGTCCTCGTTTGTCGCTAGAACGACTATGGTCTTAATTGCATACATGTCTGCGGGATGCCTATGTCTCGCGTCGTCGGTCGGTTGACTCATGACTTTTCTTGCGTCCACTTAATGGCTTTGGTGTACAACTGCCTAATAAATGTAGAGCAACGGCCATGTCGGAATTCTGCCCCTTAATTTGACAGCGATTTCATAAGATCTTAGACTGACATGGACTAGCGATGAAACTATCACTTCCGGTTTTGATAAATGGGCAACTAGTCGAACGACTAAATCTGCCAACAAACGTACGCTTGAAGAGTCTCTCCTGCAATTCGTTGCGAACTTGTCCGTGATTTCGTACCTCAAAATGTTTCCCGTCATGCGGTAAACAACTCCTTGCCGCCTTTCGCATTCAGACGCAACAAATTGAATGTTTTACTCATTTCAATTTTATGTCCCTGAAGAAAATGCTAATGAAAATAAAAGAGGAAGAACATCATGGTATGAAAGTCAATCGATCACATTCAATAAATAACGCGTCGTAATAATTGCGCTTTTAATAATACGTCAGAGTTTGAGTGCAAAGACTCATATTATCCACATTAACACTTTTGGAAGATTGACAATTCTCTTATCCAAGAAACCGTCCTTATGCTTAAAGCAGAAAGCTTGCGATCTCCGTATGCTCTCTGTGTCAACCTATGAATACGAAATCCCGATCCTAAGCCTGAAAGCTGTTCATTAGCTGCAGGCTACGCGGCGCAGCGTGCAATGGTGTATATTGTGAATGACAAGAAAATAAGGATACAAACAAGTGAGTAAGGACATGAGCGAGAATCTGTTACATAATTGCAGGAGCGAAGAAGTCGAAGTAGCACTGGGCAGGACACATTGCAAAAAGAAACCCGTGGCTGTTCCAGAGAAACATTCGACTGGATTCCGAAAGATGGTAAACGATCTGACTGAAGACCTCCAGATTGAACTGAAGTCGCTGAATCATGATCGATGAGTATCGCTGAGAACAAAAGTTTATGGCAAAGTCTTGGACAGCCCTTCGCTCAGCAGTGGATTCAAAAAGGTTGTTGATAATGATGAGAGACAG